GCATAAGCAGATGACATTATTACTTCCTGGGCCACTATTATTCCCACCTGAAACTGGCCACACTTGGCATGGGAAGTAACTACTTCACTGGCTGTCAAAAAAGGTCAGTGTCACTTTCTTCCCCTTCTTTATGAAATGTAATTTTGAAGAAAAATCAAAAAGTCACCAGAAAAGGAATACAATTATCATGGGTATGGTGTGTACCATGTATATGCTTTTCAGGTAATAATAGGAATGATGAAAGAGAAGCAAATATTAATTCTTTAGACTGCTAGAAGATCAGAGAGAGACCTTAAACCCACAAAGACATAGTGACCTTGGTCATTCTGTAATAAAACACACAAAGGATGCAACATATAAGTGAAATAATAAATAATAAGTTTTGTTCAAATTTATTTTCCCGCATTGGTATGGGTCAAGAAATTATTATTAGCCATTCATGTAGAAACAGTTGCTCAATTAAAACTGGCAGCGTGTATGTTTGAAAGCATGTCTGTGCATGCACACACACACACACATTCCCAGCATTTTTAGTAAGGCTGCAGTTAATATTGACATTTTTCAGAACTGAGACATTCATCCTATTATTCCAACAGCTCCAGTGTATGTGCAACCTAAGTAATGCTGCAGAATCTACATACCATTGGCAATGCCAGGTATAACTGGATTACATAATGCTAGGGTAGCCTGTCACACCTGCACAGTAAGGAGCTTTTTCCATAGCTACTAGTAACATCCATATCACTATTAGCCAAATAACTTATAGTGCTGAAAAGCAAGAAGATCCTAGAGTCGTAATATTGTAGAATTTGTCCTTGACAAAGGTCATCACAGGTCAGGTTGCCTACTCAAACATTTTATTTTATAATTAATTGCATGTTTTTAGTCCTATCCTTTGTGCTTTATGAAAGATTAAGAAATTTAAAATATTTAACACATTTATGTATAAAAATAATTTAAAACAACAAAAATCCCCAAACCAGTTAAAGTGTATCAAATGTTTAACAAATGCCTGCAAGTAAAAGAAGGCCTTAAGCAAGCACTGAAAGTATTCAATGACAATCCCAGACAGATCTTCTTTGGGAGCCCTCACCTAAGGAACCGAGGTGGGTGGCTACAAAGAGGATCTTTCCTACAATGGCACCCAAGTTGTGGAATGAACTTCCCCAAGAGAATTCCTTGGTACCTACACTGGGGAACCTGGTTCAGCACCAGGTGACAACTTTTTATTTTCCCCAGACATTTTAGTTTTTCTATTTCTGTTTTGACCTGGTACTGTATATTAAATCTTATAAATCTGAGATGGATCAATTCCATAAAAGAAAGTCACAGCCTTGAATTTCCAAGAGCTGAGCAGGACTGTCAAGGACAGGGTATTCTGGAACTGATACCATTGAGCAAGAGTGATGTGGTTGGTTCAGGAAGCTAATTTTGCATGTCATAAAAAGATAAAGGCAAAGGTTTCCCCATGACATTAAAGTCCAGTCATGTCTGACTCTTGGGGGCAGTGCTCATCTCCGTTTCCTAGCTGAGGGAACCAGCGTTTAAGAAGGCAGCAAATAATTCAGCATTGCTGTTGTGTTTTTCATCCCATGGAAAGACACTTGCGGGGTTACAAGCTAGCCTAACAACTTGAAAAGCTCTTCTGCCTTCTTTTCTACAAACACATCTTCAGGAAAAGCCAAGCCCAGACCTTTTTCTTTCTCTGCTAATTTTCTACTTGAAGGAAATTTAGGAAGCTCAGTACTGTCAACAGAGTTCCTCAGTAGCAATTTTAGGCGAGATTTTCTACTGCTATGTGGAGATGCTGGGGACTGAACTTGTAATTTTCTGCATAGAAAGTGTGTTCTCTTTCTATTTTCTCATAGAAATTGTGTGATCTGTGTCTCCACCCAGACTTACATTGCATCACAACATTCAGGTCTCTAATCTCCCACCTGCATTTGAAGAGGTTCCAGGAGAACTAAAGATGTGTGAAGCTGACTTGAGATCCCTTCTGAGAGAAGCATCTTATTCCCCTTGATCAGTGCTGAAAATGAAACTGCTTGTTTTCTGAAGAAACATGCAAGGGAATATCACAGCAGGAGATTTTGACTTAACCTACTCTGTCATAATCCACCATGGTTTCTTTGTTTAATGGTGTGCCTGCAGGCTTATTTGGGAACTTCATCTTTAGCACTCTTGCAGGTCTTAGCAAAAGTAGTGCCAAAATTTTATATATCCAATATTTCGCTGTGCTTTGAAAACTGGAACGGGGCTGGAATTATCCCCCTTTTATAGGTACTGAGTCATTATTTCCTCATCATCGAGCTATTGCTGTGGATTAGGTACCACATCCCCTTGGAGAACCATTATAGTTGCTGCACTGAAGCAGGGAATGCTTGGATGTGGGCCTCAGCAGGAGAGCTGTGACTTGCAGTGGATGGAGCATTAATTTCACAGAATCCCGTTGCTCTTGAGACATAAAACTGCAAGCTGTATAAGAATAACTGCTTTCCACTAGGGCTCCTGGAAGGCAGGAAGGATTTTCGTTGTTATTTGCTTGCACTTTGCTCATAGAAAGACAGCTAATACCATGGCTCTGGTTTCTCTCTGTTATGTCTGCTAAATCATATTATGGAAAGCAAAACATGGCAGTTATGGGTTGCAGGGGGGAGATTCTTAACAATTCCATTAAAGTGTGTTTACTTCTGCCTTGAAAAGTAGTTAAACTTTTACCACCACAGCAATGGCTTCAAGTCTAGCATTTAGGCTTAGATGGTAGCATTTAAAGCATGTTGCCATCCATTTCAAGCCTCTTTTTCTATAGTAGGAATAGTTAACTATGTAATAACACTGTGAGTAAAATGAGATAAAGATTCAGTTAACACATGACAAGCAACACATGTTTCATTATCCACAACCACAGTTAATAAACTAAGAGAGAGTGTGCTGGCCCCCAACCCATATCTTGCTCCCAAACCTGGAACTGCAGGTTGGTGGGGAAGGAACCAAACCACTTGTTCACCCCCATTTTTTCATGGCTTCTGTGACATGCAAAGGACTGTTTGGAGGGCTTTCATAAGCCAAAGACAAAGTAATTCTATGAAATGCAAACTAATTCAAGGACAGACTATCTTTGAGGAGGCCACACAGTGAAATGTAGCTCCACAAGTCCATAAAAGTGTCTGTGTGGAAAAATTCCCACCTCACTTTCACAGGCAGAAGTTCAGTTTGAAATAGCTCTTTGTGGGAAACAGAATCTATCCTGACCCTGCAATTAATATCTGAGGCGCCAAGTGCCGCCTCCAAGGGCGGCAGTTGGCCCCCTAACCCTGAAATAATCTCCCCATGAGGCCTGTCCAGTGAAAAGCCTACCAGCCTTTCAGAGCCAGATTTAAAGATGCTTCTGCATCGTTAGAAACTAGTAAGGATATCTAATGGCTTGGTAGGAGCACCCATGCCAAGTCTATTCTGTATCAAATATTGTTTTAGTGGTTACATTTGTTTTTAAATGTTGTATGCTAAGATAATGTCATGGCTATTTATTTGTGTTATGGTCCTCTTTTAGGAACTGTTGTAAACTGCCAGAAAGCTTTGACTTTTAGGCAGTACAGAAAATAAAATCAGTTTCAAAAAGTTACCATATGTAAAGTTGCCAATCAAGGAAACACCATGCTCAGGTCTGGTAATTAACACTAAGTTTGACATTATCCCATTGCCAATGTACTCCACTGCACCCAGACATGCCAGGTTACCTGCAGGAACAACATAAGGTCTCCCCTGCTACCTGTCTCTTTAACACCTGCCACCTCACTCTGTCAAACTGCAGAGTTAGTCCTGATAGTAACTCCTACTTGTTCATCTGCCCATTGACTTCACAGGCCCCAAAATATCTTTCAAACAAGTACCTATGCAATTCGAAAATGACATCACAGCAGTCCTGGCTTTATAAAGTATTGCATATACTGATAAGCAATTCATAACTGATTGATAATTCATAGTGCCTCTGGGACTAAGCAGAGGAAACTCATCCCCGCCACCCCCCACAGTGCATACTATGAATCAAACTATTTAAAGCCTATACATTAAAACAGTTTCCATTTTGGTCTTGCAGGTGTACCCCGCATGGTTGTTGTGTTTTTCTATCTGATATTTTGCCACATAAAACACAAAGCAATGCATGTTCAGACAGGAAAAAATGCTTATAGTACCTGCATACCCCAAACAGCACGGTTAAGAATTCTGGGAATTTTAGGCCACTTTTCTGTCCAAGCCAAAACTCTTCCTGGAATCAAAAAAGACAAAATTGAGACTGTTGTATTTTGTGCACATCATGAGAGGCAAAAGAAAAAAGGGAAAACCACCAACTCATAGAGTTACCATAAGTCATAGATGGCTTGACAGCATAACAACAATTAGCAAAAATTCACTTGCTAGACCAAAATACATTTCAGGAAGAAAAATATGTGCAAACTATGTATTAATTTTCATCCAGATTTTTTCTTTTAAAATGCACACAAACTGTTGAAGAAATATTATTGGGAAAATGTGAAACTGAAATGAACAGATCCAGCCATTCTTATCTGGAAACTGTCCTGTACTGATTTAGGCTATTTACCAATCACAATGGCATTTATTCTGACAGACTGCACCTCTTCATCTTACAGTCCCATTCCTGAGATCTTTTCATCAGAGGTTCCAGGGAATGAATTCAGTACTAAGCACTTGCATTCAAACCATGTGTTCTGCCATGGAACTATGGAATTTCTCCAACTTGTTGAACAGTTCTGTCTGGTTATGCATACTGGAAGACTGGTCTCTTCATATAATAGTAGAGTTGGAAGGGGCCATGAAGGCCGTCTGGTCCAGCCCCCTGCTGTTGCAGGACACCAAGTTACACCATCCCACTCAGATGGCTGTCCAGTTTCTTTTTGAATGGGAGAGTGTGGGAGAGCCCACCACCTGTCTAGCCAGCTGGTTCCACTGACATATTGCTCTAACAGTGAGGAAGCTTTTCCTGATGTCTATCCTGAATCTGGGTTGTCACAGCTTGACTTGATTATTCCCTGTCCTGCACTCTGGTATCAGCAAGAAGAGATCTTGACCTTCCTCTTTGTGACAGTCTTTCAGATACTTATAAATTGATACCATGTCCCCTGTGAAGTCTTCTCTTCTCAAGGCTGAACATGGCCAGTTCTCTCAGTCTCTCCTCAAAGGGCAGTGCTTCCAAACCCTGAATCATTTTTGTTGCCTACCTCTGGACCTTTTCTAATATTTCTGCATCTTTCTTAAATCTTGGTTCCCAGAACTGGACACAGTATTCCAGATGAGGCCTGACTAGTGAGGAATACATGAGAGGACATAGCCCAGTGCTATCCAAATGCTCCTTTCATGTATAAAGTCCCTCCAAATCCTACCAGTAGGATCTCAGTAATCAGGATCTTAGATAGCAAGCCTGGGAACTTAGGGTGTGGAAATCTACAACCTGCCCCAGTATATAGTATTGGGATAGATGGATAAATGCTGTACATATTTCCCCATATCTCATGGATAAGTTACTAAGGATGGTTTGCATAGCAGTTTGGAAAAGAATGTGACTCAGTAGAAGACCATTTTCTCATCATGTCCAGCAGCCTTCTAAGTACATTTTACAAATGTGAGTAATCCTCACAGTTTTCTGTGAGCAAAGAAAGTAAAAATCTTACCTAAATGTCAGGAGTACCAGAAAAGGCAGCTTAAAGATGGTGGTTCTAAAGGCTTGCTGGACTAAAATGCTTCACTTCCTGTCTAAAAACAAGCCACAATTCCAGATAAATCTCTTTGAAAGACTGGTCTAGATCTTGGGCAGCACAGCTGAAAAGGCCCTGTCTCAGGTGCTTTATTTCATTTAGCCTGAAGACCCAAAGCAGAGCTTCAGAAGATGAATGATGTTTTAAGGCTTTAAAGGTCAAGTGAAGCTGTGGACAAGGCTGGTTAACTGGCTATTGTCAGAACTGTAAGTGCTATTGAACTGATTGGAGCTTTTAGACTCTCTCCAAGGATATATTAGCCTAAAATGAATGATGGAACTTCTCTGCTTTGTCCAAAAAAGTGCTTTCATTCATCAGGTGAAACTGGTTAAAACTATGCCTAGTAACCTTTAACACTGACCAATGCACTTAGCAGCATTCCCGAAGTACAAGCCAGCTACTTCTGCCAGTGTGACCTACCCAGAACTGGTTGTGCACTTATTCCTGACTCACCAAAAATTCCAGCCATACTTTTTATCTAAGCCTCAGTTCATCCTCTGTCACCTAGTCTAAAATTGCTACCAGACACCTTCAGCATCCCAAGGTTAGAAGATTGAAAAAAGAAATATAGCCAGGTGCCATTCCATGTTGACACTTAGCAATAAGGTGTTCATTTCTTTTAGAACACTGTAGTTTAAAATATACCATGTGTTTTGCCATATGCTGTTATTCAGATAGGAAAGTGCTGCATCACATTGCCTGGGTTCTTCAGGCTTGAAGGTCACAGCTCTCTTGTCATTACTTCTCAGCATTATTGATTTGACTACATGGTTGACTTTCATGTGCACCTCATTAAAATGAGTAATTGTTTTCCAAGTTTCAAGTGGAGTAGCAGGTCTTTTCACTGCATAATTACATGATTTACTCTGTACAGCTAGTGGTAAGAGAAATGGTTTACACAGGATCCAGCTGTGAGTTTTCATTTCTTGAAGAACAGAAGGCGGGACTAGAAGCCAACCCTAAAGCCTTGCAGGGCATTGAGCAGCCCAGAGATGATGTAGAGCACAGCCTTGCGGACAAGCATTGTGGAAAGATTAGCTGGCAGAGATAACCAACAGGAAATGCTCGGTGGCAGAGTGAAACCATCTGTCAGATTCTGAATGGTTCTTTTCTCAATAAGCAGAAAATGAAGTAAGGAAGAGATTTTGTTTCAAGAAACAGCGGTGCCTTAGGATATTTGTGTACAAAGTAAGTTTGCATCATCTAGTAATTGTGGTTTATTACAACAATAGCTAATGCCATATGACATGCTCTTCAGTTTAGCGAGAAAGCAAGCCTGTGCTTATCTTCTTTAAAGGTTTTAAGAACATGTTAAACATGTATCCAGGCTTATCTTGGAGTTATTTATTTGAACAAATTGCAAACAAGCTTTCAAAATACTTATGCTTCAGTTTGTCGGTTTCATGACATTGTCTTTTTGTAGAACCACATCTGAAATGGAAAATAATTGAGAATGGTCATGCTGACTTTACTGATCGGGAGTATGCCAGGATATCATTTGTGTTAGTGTTGTTGTTGGAAATTTTATCTATATGATCCCATTTACAATTTGTAAAGGGATGGGCTTTGTCTTTTTATTTTAGGATACATATGAATGAATTACATAAATTAATGAATTCATAACATGATCATTGAGAAGAATATATCCAGAATGTTTCTGAAATTATATTTTTTAGTCCTATAGTGTTGTTAAATCTTTGTGCATCTAACCTTCTGAAGACCTGATGTTTTTATATTTTTTTACTTCTTCAAAATAATTTTCCTGGTTTTCCACAAGTTTTTAAAGGTGAATGATTATCTGTGTGTCCTAGGTGAAGTTCTGAAAGGGAAATTGTGTAACTTGTTTCCTATTTATTAATTTGTTCTTGATGAGTACAAGACTCCTACTTTCTCATGGCTTGAGATGGAGGTTATAATAGCAGGAGCTGCTGCTGCTACCCTGTGCAAGACCCTTGTAATTTGGGCATTTGGCATCAGACAGTTCTCCTATCATTTGTTCAGCAATAACACTTTTGTCATTGTAGTTTCAATGGACTGCCTATTCTCAGCCAGAAGTGGAAGCTTTAGCTGCAACTCCTCACACACGCGCACACACACACACACACACCCACACACACCCACTATGGCCCAATATGGATGACAAAACATTGTAGCATGTGTGGGAAAATGGCTGCAGTCCAATGTCTGGAATCATTTATCTTCTGGTGGAGCTTGGAAGATGACTGCTTTATGCATTTTACAGAACTCCCTGTTGATTGATGTCATTTACTTAGGGGGCTGTGATCTGTTGTTGATGACAGGGTAAATGAGTTGGGGAACACACATTTTTGGTACTGTTCTACTTAATGAGAGCATGAAAAAAATTAGGTTCAATTCTGCCCAGTATCCCTGATACCCTGTTCTTTTAAATAATGGCACATTTATGTGTTTTCTTCACAGCCACGCAGATCTAACTGTTTCTTAGCCATAAAACCTTCCTCTTTCCAGCTTTGGGAACTGGTTAGCCAAGACTTAAAGTTCCCCACCAGCACTAGCAATCCTTTTTAGCTCAAGAGTTTCTCTGGAATTTGTGCTGATGTTACTGCTGGGGCTTGTGGGAAAAGGAAGTGGATTGAGTGTTAAGTGTGTGTAGCACATGCACTATTGATCTGCTTTTCAAGACACTGTCATTTACTATGTTGTGATCTGCTGAAGAGGTTGCATAATAATGTGGCTTCTGCACACACAAACCCCTGGTAGCAGCTTGGCAATGTGCAACACGTGGCACTTAAAATTGCTACAGTCTGCGTGTGTTGCACCTTTAGCAACAAAAGCAATGATTTTGGCAATCAAAGTCATGTTGGTTTTCCTTTAGAGGAGAGAAAGAAACCATTTTCTCTGTGCTACTGTTAGTCTACCTTTGAAAGCGCAAAGGCTTTCGAACCTTTTGTTCCACCACTTACAAGATCCTGCACTTGACTAACCCTGTCATACGCTGAACTTGGTATTTGCTGTACATAAGCAATTTCCTTAGATCCTGACTTTGTCAGTGAAATCAGATTGTAGCATTTTCACTGATGAATAAATAGCAAATGTGTTTGCTAATTAAATAGGTTGCTTCAGTATTCAGAAGCCAAAAAGGAAAGTTGCTTTTATTTTTAAAATTGTCCATATTTATCTGGAACTTACTTACAGATTATAGGACAGTTTGCACAGATATATTAAGGCAAAAATGCCCTAAAATAATGAAACATTCCCTTGCCCATCCTTCAGTGGTTGTTAACAAGTTTACATATGGTAAAGTGAATATCAAAGCACTACAAGAAAAATTTTCTTTATATATGAAAAGTGAGCAATATTTGTGTGCCTTTCATATATTGATAGTGCTCTTCTGAAAGAAAAGCTACAACTATCAATAAATATAAATAGACCATAATTAGTTACAGCTAGCCAGCTATGGAGCTGATTGCACAACACTTCACTGCAACGCCTGTGGAACACGTGCAGCCACCGTGTGCATACACAGCCCCTGCTTGGTAGTTCTGTTGTGCGAACCCAGCAAATGTAGGTTATATGAAGGTTAAACAGCTCTCACATAGTGATTTTACCTGAATCCATCCCTTCCTCTTGTACTCAGCCTTGTTGTAGGAATCAGGCCAAGCTGGGAGGAAATCCACACACACTCTCAGAAGTTCAGCTATGCAATGGGCAACCTTCTTTTACTGCACATGCAGTAAAAACAAAGACTGCAAGTCACACTCATGGAAAACAGATGCTTGTGCAGCGTTCAGTTGTGTCTCAGTTCCTGCTCACTAATGCCCAGAAGTCAGACTCAAAGCTGGGAGAAAATAGGCTAAAGTCTGGGAGCTGAGCCCAGGGAATCCAATGGATTCCCATTCCCAAAACAGGTTCCTCACATATCCCTACCCTCACATACTCACTATGGTCATGTAACATGAATATTTAACATAGTAGCTATACATGCCATGGCTTATTGTGGTTATAACAGTCCAAAACAAGTTGTAGCATGTTGTTAACTACAAACAACCCAGAGTTCACAACCTAACAACAAACCATGGGGGTTTTTTTCTTGATTGTTTGTGGTTAATATCCTTTAGTTAAACCACAATGAGGGGTCTGCAGGTAGCCACATCCCACAATTTAACAGTAATCCATAGTCATTCTGTACTCTGTGTTGTCATGTTTGAACCTGGCAATTTCAGCTTGGCAGCAGAATACTCACACAGCAGAATCATGTACCACCATTTTTAAAATGAATTATATTGAACTGCGCATGAGAGGAAGCCATGACAGAGGGAACAATTATGTTAGAGTCCTTCTTAGTTTTGTATAAGCAGGGAAGTTTTAGAGTTATTGTGAGGGGCAGAATCAAGATAAGATCCTTAAATGTTCAGGCATTTACTATTTCAGCTGTAAGCAGAAATATCATGCAGCAGACTGGGTTTATTTATTGGGCATTTAATAAAAGAAATGTGTTAGAGTTTAAACTTTGGAAATATCTGTTAAAGTGCAGACCTGTGTGATTGCACACAACCTGTCATGCAGGCATCTGGTGGAGCTCAGTTGGAGCAGGAAGGCAAGGATTCAGGGCTTTGGGTGGCACACAACATAACTCCCAAGCTAGGAAAGAACCATGCTGGCTAAGAAGGTAGAAAGGTACCTTTCAAAGCAGAGTCCCCTATCTAGCCTTTGAAGGTTTTTCTAAGTGGGGACTCTGTCCTTCTTATGGAGTATACATGTGTCTTATCTTACCAGCCATAGGATTGTGCCCTTAGATTCCTGCTCAAAATGACTTGTCTCAAAGCAACTTCAGAGCAACTTTGGCCATTTGCCAAAAAAGGTAATGTTCGTTCATCTTAAGCATTGCTTGGCTGATCAAAGCATCTTTTTGTGCTTTTTATTACTACCAATGCTTTAGGGTTTCACACATTTCTAATCCACCCAAATACATAGGCATAATTTAAATATAAAACTGTATAGCGAGCTGCTGAAGATAAACAGTATGGACCACACTTATGGTTTTTTTTAATATCACAAGCAGAAAATGAACATACTTGCAAAATATTGCTAGGTAGGAACTATGCAAACATTCAATCTTATGTAATCTTTTATTTAATCACTTCTGCTATGAAATACAGAGCTGTGGCAAGCACATCCAGTAAAGTTTGTCTCTACATGTTGTAGACCTATAAGTACATACCTTTTTCATTGTACTTTTCAGTTGTAAATATATTCCATAAAAGGGATAACCTCTTTTGATGCTATGAAATCTCAGGTAAAGTTGTTTCAGTTCACCTGGGTTTCTTTCGTACATTAACAGAGAACTGTATCCAGGGATCTCATCCTTCTAGAGCAAAGCTTCCCCCTTCTACCAATAATGGAAACCATGTTATTATCCTGCATGACTGTCAAATCCAATACTTTGATTCTGGTTGTACTGGCTGTTGTACAAGGCAGTGAACAAGACAGTGAACAAACTATTCTGTAAATCATTGCACAAGGTATCACCTTTTGAACAACTCATTACAATTTTATTAGAGTAGTTGCTCCTTGCACTAGTTGTGTGAGTTGGGATAGCAGTTGGGCAGCTTCTAAAAGAACAGTGCTTGTATTTCTTCCTTCTATCCTAATGTTGGATACAATCCAGAACTAGCAAGCAATACTTAGTTTAATGCAGTTGTAAATTAGTTGTGCAATGTCTTATAGAACCACTTGTGCAACACTTTGAGTAAAATGCACTGGACAATAATGAGCACATTGGTTCTTATTACCTTTTAAAATGCCTTGCGAAACAGCTTGTATGAGATCTCACAAAAACTGTTGGATCTGACGTGCACAAGGGTAAAGCAGGGTTTCTGCGCGTGATAGAAACTTTGCAGTACAGTCCAGATAATAGTACAATTCTGTTGTAGTCTGATAAAAGTATACTAGTGAAAAAATATGCAATTGCCATTATGTGTTCACCACCTCCCTGAGCAGCGAGACATCCCAGGACCAATGTTTCCCTAAGTTTGCTTTCCTTTTAAAGAAGTACTCCTTGGAGACTGATGGCATTCTGTAATAACTTGATTTATTTACAGATATTCATAGGCCCAATAAACATGAAGCCAGATCTGCTGTGCTTGCTATTCCACAGCTTTTCAATGATGAAATATCATGATGAATTTCCTGGAGCATTTGTCATCAGA